TTGGAATTATGATACTGACAATTTTCAACATTAGAACACGCAAGAGAATAATTTTGTAAAGCAAAAAAAAGCAGAGATGACAGAGGATAAAAAATGAAGGTGTAAACTTTCAAACAAGGGCATAAAGTCATAATTCTGTATTTGTGTGTTTACTATAGCTAACTGTCCTTATGAGTCACAAATACGGCTGTGAAATGTATCCAAATTTTAATCAAATTGAGAACCAATGTCAATGGAAATTGTCAATGATACGCATGGGTCTACAGCCAATCGTCTGTCACTAAGCATCTTGTTTGGAGCAAAGTTCAGATGTTTGAAAAATAACATTGCCATTGTTTAAATGTCACTGATTAAAAGTCAGCTGTAATCTATCAATACAAAGAAAAAAAGTATCTTTTTTTTTTTTTTTTTTTTTTTTTACTTAACAGCCAGTTCTAATCATAATGCAATGTTTAGATAGATTTCACTCAGTCTATGGTTGCACAAATGCCTTCTAGATTAATCATTTTTCAATTTATGGACTTTAAATGTCACTTATTGCAAGTATTTCATATTTACGCCATCTAAAAAGTAAGCAAGTGACAGTGTAGTTAATTATGTGAATGTGAATTACAATCCAAAGGGCAACAAAGCGAGCTTATGTAATGCCAAAACTTAGTTCTTTTTATACTATGGGGACATTTTTAGGCTATGGCGGGCCAACATAATCTCTTCTATTAATGAGAAACACTGATAATGTAACATAAAACATGATGTTACACCATAGACTTTATATAAATGGCCATAGCTAACCCGTTAGCCACCGTGTTCCAAATAGGAAGTGTTCATAGGCATGCTTCCAGCTCTATCGACTTGTCTCCAATTGACTTTACATTGAAAAATTGTCTCACCCCTCTCTCTGTAACTGCTGCAGTGAGCCTCATCATTTTGGTCTTTACATGTTCGTACTAACGTGCTCTACATGATCCTGGTGTTTATATTTTGCTATTTTGTACATAAATTAATTCCTTTCCCTATTCTCACTCGGCTCCAAATTTGCTCCTATAACTGCTAGCCTCGTGAGCTTCATTTGACTGGGCATTACAGGTGGCGTCACGCTCCCTTAGTCCGCTTCTTTATACAGTCTATGGCTTACACACACATTTTTGCCAACTACTGATAATACGCAAAATTCTCATTTTTGACTTATCACCAAGATCAATACTCCAACCTATAACTGTCAATACACAGCCAACTAACCTATCTAACCTGTAAGGAAAACCTGATCTAAGACGTTGTACTAGAATTACCCCACTCTCCACGTTTATCTTTTCTTTTTTTTCCTGTAGCAGCTTGATGTATTCAGTCCAATGTGTTTGTGTATGTGTGTGTTGAATTCCATCAAGTCTGTGAAGAGGGGGATGAGTCATAGCGCTACGCAAGCCCACACCGCACACCATACACTCACGTACAGGCACAGAACAGGCTAACCACGCCGCCACATCCACACTTTTACTGCATTACACATCACAGTATAACAATCTATATGACTGTGCAATTAAGGTAGGAGCAAGTGAAACCCATGCTGTTCATTGCACAGATTTTAAGGTGTGGTTGAAAAGGAGGATAGAAGATAAAATGAGAAACAGTACTTTGATAGTATAACATGACTGTTTACTATTACTGTAGCATCCAAGTTCTATATTTGTATATTTGGAGGTAGCAGAGCTGAAGCACTGACTATTTGACTAAACGGGTGACTCACAAGAAAGCTGACAAAATAATTTAGAAAAAAAAAAAACAACAACTTTGTAAACAGAGAAGAAAACAGCATCTTCATAAGTGAAATCATAAAGGCAGCTCATCCAAATAATCCTAATAAAACAATTAGACAACTGTTGAGACAACTTTGATGATTCATCAATTTAACAACTCATGGACTACCACTAGTTACCATAGTGGCTCTAATCCCTAATAGCAGATCATCATTGTTTTATGAATCTGAAAAGAATTACATATAAAGCAAATTAACTGTTTAATAAAATAAAATATGACAAGATGAATATTCAAAAGATACAGACTGACTGATTTTCTGTCAAGTCAAAATCATAACTCATAATTCACACATATTCACTCCCACCTCTTACTATGCATCATCACAGTTTGTAGAGAGCAGCCTACACATCGCCAAAGTAGGAGAGGAGAGTCGTTTTCAGTCTTATCAGAAGATGTCTGTCTCACAGGCTTATAGTTGATCCATTTTGTCGACCACTTTCTTGATAAAGTCCATCAAGGCTGCTACTCTCATTTAAGAAGTTAAGCCTGATGTTTACTTAGCTGCATCTGTTACCTTGGCAAGTACATGCTGTCTCCTAAAGTAAACAATCTTAAAGCATCAAGTAGCTAAACTGTTATTAAAACTAATCAACCGCAAACTACATGGACTAGCAATACTATAGCAAAATATTACAGCAATATACTAGAAAAGCTTAAAAGCCAGGGCATAACCGTGCAAAGTTACAATGTGTACAATGTGTAGTCCTATTTTAGGGCCCTATAGAGCCGATGTAGTCAGCAGTCGGAGTTGGGGATAGAAAGAATGCCAGAGATGAAAAACAAATGTGAGTTTGAATAAGCTAAACATTACATCACATCCTGGGGCCCAGGTTAAAGCAAACGAGCCCCTTCTCTGCTGCTGCGAGGAGAAAGTCTCTGCACTGATTTGTATTTGACAGGTGGTTTAAAACAACTTACATAGTATACACTCAATCTGTAAACACACTTGTAAAGTACATTATTAGGAAGATGTTTGTGATGGAGATGAGAGTTATTTATTTCTGTGAGAGCCTTGTATTCAATGGGTAAACAGCTAAAAGGGGCTATTTTAATCCTGATCTTATGACAGAAAAACTAATTTTTGCATGAGGTTCAAGTCAGCAAGCTGTACCAGACAACTTAAATAGTTTAACTTTTTGTTATTCGGCTCGTTGAAAAGCTTAATTCTATGGGCACTGAAAACAGTTTGATTAATGGCATGATACTTGGATACTATGCTTTGATACAAACTTGTCTCACACAAGTTTTAAGTCAATAAGGTGTCAGGGCTAGCAGGCTAACTATTTGCTAATGCTACAAAGGCTAAGCTAACCATGAAGCAACTCCCTTTTATAAGTGTAACACAAACAAAAATGAAAATTAGGGCATGTGGCATGAGACCAAGAGTCGGGTGTCCCTGTGGACTAAACCGCTGCAACTAAACACGGGAAAGACCACTAGTGTCGTAAAACTTATAAGTGCAACAAAAATAAACATCCAACCAGCTGTTAGCATAAGCTAGCTTGTTAGCATGCATCACGGTGCGCTGCAGATCGTGACGCGGATTTAAGCCGTAGCCAGCCGCTGTGGCCAGGCTAACTTAACGGGACAGTACTGGCCAAAAATAGCTCTAGACAAATTAACATGCAAGACACGTACATGACAACTCACCTCACTGCTAACGCTGTTTACCTCCATCTTGTCCCAGGTTTGTACTAAAGTCTAAGGCATCATATTAAGTCCACCTAGACCCACGCTCCACGTTGCATGTCTTGCCCGTAGAAATCCGGCTCTTCTGCTTTGATGATCACAGGCAGTCTGCACGGCTGCGGTCAGACGGGAGGGAGGCTGTGATGTGGGGGTCGCGGGGGTAATATCATCGGATGCTGATGACTGGACCATAGACGCTCACCTAAAGCTCCGCAGCCCTGCCATGGATGCGAATATGGCGGCTACCGTGGTACCTGATCGCCAGTGAATGAGAGTTTATTGACGTGTTTATGACGCAATTCAGTTAAGGATTTCCCCCGTCCAAAGGAGAGCAGCCGATGCGCGGGTATGAGAGGAGGGGGCTGCACTGTGCCGCCGTGACATGTAAGCATGTTCCGGGGGACGGATGTTTCCTCATTACCGAAATAGTGGTGATCACTGAAATAGCAGAGATTGACGAAATTTGGCTTGACGCAGAAGAAAAATCAAATGCAAAAAAATATAGTAAATCCTTAGCCATTTTAAGCCTTTCATACAAGTGAGCAATTTCAATGCTTTAAAGCGACTGTTTGATTTAAGCCTGTCCATCTCTGCTCAAAGTAGGGCTGGCTAAGAGGCTTAAGCTCAATCCTTTATACAGTTCCGAGAAGTGCAAGATGCAACTACACATTAAAAGTGCACTGTGTAACTTTTCTGGAGAGGGTCTACAACCTGTATGGAGATGTTGATTCTTTGGTTTAAATGTCCACTGCCCAAATCCATCTGTCTTGCATTTATTCAACTACAGGTGTTAATTTATTGCTACAAATATAGATATATAAACAAAACATTAATTCTTACTATGAGTGGGGTCACCTCTCCAGAAATCTAACCTGTAATTCGGCTTGCAAGTCTCCATGGAGATTCTTAAGTTTACGGCTATACTGTATAATGTTTTAGGCACATCTCCATGGAGACAAGCAAGCAACAGACCCTCCTCCAGACAAGTTATACACTGAACCTTTAAGTTGAACTCATGGTGTACATTTACATACTGAAACATGAATCTAACACATTATAAAGAGTGAGTGACTTGGTGAGTGTTTATTATTCTGTCTGGACAACCCTAGAGCAAGGCAAATATACAATAAAAAGGCAACGTCAGTCCAACTATCAAGATGATGCTTAAAGGTGCACTGTGTAACTTTTTGGTTGTGTATCCGTCACCTTCTTGTTTCTGTGGAAATTTCTTTGTTATGCTTAGAATGTTCCACAATATGACATTAAACAGATTTACCTTACATTTTAATCAATTACAGGTGGTTTTATAGCTTGGAAATATGTGGAAAAACTGGCGTTTTGTGAGCAGGGTTGTCTCTCCACAGATTTAACCAGTAACTTGGCTCGGTTTGGTCTCCATGAAGATAGAAAGGTTTAATGCCTTAATATGAAACATTCCAGGCAAAGCAGTAACATCTCCATGGCATTAGCAAAGTTACACAATGCACCTTTAAATCCATAGCCATAGGGCAACAGGACGTGAGGTGAGTATTTCTTGTTTTTATTTGTCAGATCACCTGTTTCTATGTGAAGCGTGTGAACTCATCTAAGTCTATGTATTACACAATAAATCAGTCTTTTCCCTCTGATGCAGAAGGTTCAGTAACTTTGTGCACTTTCTTTTTGGAGTCTTTATTGGTCAGTGGTGAGAGCCCTCCACTGCTCCCCGGGGACCCCCTGTGCTCAGTGCAGTCTTCAGCTGAAGGAGAACCAGGAGATTGTATATCCTCTTCAAACTCCCAGTCCTGATCAGAAGACGGAGGTAGACTATCCATGAGTTCCTAAAAGTAAACAAAAAGTAAAAAATGTGTCTTTCATTACGGTTATTTTATGTTTATGATTACTATGAGTTTATTTTTGCGATTTTGTGTGATTTGTTTGAAAGTGATAGAATCTTAAATTATGAAACATTATAAGGCTCTGAAACAGAAATATTAAAGCAAAAGGGTCCATCTCAAGGAATATTCCGTGATCAGAATTCATGACTCTAACTACATTAAAATTATGACAAGGGACATTTATACGTTAGATGAACATAACTTCTATATGGTTTCTTTGTTAAACCTTTATTTAGGTTATACATACATATGGATGTGAAGATTATTAGGTCACAATTTTATTTTTTAGTTCTCAATTGTAACACTTTTAGAAGCAAAATTAAGGAATATCCATCCATAAAAAAAGTATAATTCATGTAAAGTGTTTTAATCTGGCTGTTTATGTCACATTACCATGATAGATAATAGTATAATAATAATGAAAGAAAATTAAGGATTTCACTGTTGTTTGGTCTATATGTCAATAACTGTGAATAATTGCTAAATCTGTGTTTTTGCCTCACAATAATCATAACACTAAATTCAATATCGTGACATCCCTCTCCATACATATACTGTACATTGATATGGGTTTTGTGGTTGAACTTTGCACTCATCCACTTACCTGTTGCCTGTCCAGGTCCTTGTTTCTCACAGCGATAAGCAGGCTTTTGGTGAAGCTTGCAAGATCCTGGTATCTTTGTTTTTGGTTCTCTAGCTCATTCTCAAGGAACTGCACTTCCTCATGCTATAATGCAGGAATGCAATAAAAACACACAGTTGTATTAGTTGTAAAAATTATTTTTATGAGTCATTGTCATTACAATGTATAGTTAAATGTAATGTAACCTTAAATTCAAGCAGGCTTTGCATTTGCTCAAGGTCTGAAGCCATCATATCGACACCATCTTCATTCACTTCCTCATCATCGTCACTGACTTCTATTTTCTGTAAAGGAAACAAAGTAGATACACAATTGTTGTATACAACAATGTTATGAAGCTGTGAAACAGAAAGTAACCTACCACATTATTAGCCAGTGGAGCAGTGGACATGTCAATGTCATTTTCACCCTCTCTGTTATGGGAGCTGATGGTGCCATCTGAAGAAAAATATATATTTCTCTTTAACAAGCATCAAATACAAAATTAACAATATTAGCATTAGTTTACTTATAAAGATATGTAAGGATAAACTGTTGCATAGATGTGATTGTGTAACAGATGCTGCACGTTGGGCTCAATGATCTTACAGCTTAATCATTGAATTAAATATATATAGACTTATTGAAAAGTCTGACTTTGTACTACACTTGAACCAACATCTGAACCATGCTGAAGCCAACAGTGCACCATAAAAGTAGTCTGAATTGTGACTTTGATTGTAGCAACAAGATTCTATTGCATTTTCCATTTTTTGCACATGTAATTGACACCATGCCCTCCCAACACACATGCACAAACAAAACTAAAAATAACAGCAACAAAAAGGACATAAATATCAGATCAACCTTACCGGTAATATTCACACATCTTAACCTGTTTTTAGTAGTCAATAAATGTCACTTTTGCCATTTAGATTTTTAGTTTTTCAGTTCTTGATACATTGCGATTATCCCTTCGTCTTACCTTCAGACAGCCCGTCATTGGTGTCATCCGTTAAATCCGGTGTCTGGAGCCTGTCCACGTCGGGGCTAAGGGCCACGGGAGACTCATTTCCTGGGGGAGAGGTTGTAAATACTGCTGGCCCTCCTTTCGGAGGAGGGATCTCGATACCCATCAGACGATACTTCCTTCGCCTGTTACTGATCCAGGTCTGGCAAACAAAGCAAGTCTGCATTAGTCATACATTTACAAGCAGAAGAATCTATCCTCGGAGTCTCCATGCTATATTATCAGCTTCCTAGCACACAGGAATTTCCTTATTTAATTTGGCATATAGGGTCTTTGACTAATAAATGGCAATGGAATGGAATTTGTGTCGAGAGGTATCTCTGTGTCCTGGATGTGCATATTTTGGGGCCACAGTAACCATCCCTTGGCAAGACATATAACAAAAATCAATTTTCCAGACCGATTACTATCACATTCATTTAAAGGGCCTATATTACGCTATTTTCTGATTTATGTTGTAATGTTATTTCCTCATGGCTGACATATCTGAAGTTGTGTTTTGTTTCATTCACACATGTTGCACACACAAACCCTGCATTTTTAGGTTCTTCTCTCAAACAGAAAACACTCACTGTTTAACCTTGTGAGGTCATGTGGTAATACAGGAACTTCACTGTGTTTTTAAACTCCAGATGATGATGTCACAAGGTGGAACAGAGTCTTCTGAGCTTTGGAGATGTGGACAGACTAATGATGGGATTTCTCAAATATGTGTCAATGAAACAAAACAGAACTCCAAGAATGTTTTTGATGAGGTAATAACATTAAAACTTGGCTTAAAGCTTAAATTTCAATGCATGTGACTATGTGACTTTTTTTTAGTAGGGGGTTCACCATTTTAAGATTGCTTGGATTGCTTTGCCTAAAATATTTCACATGATGTTATTATTCAGTTACAAATGTTTTTATTGCCACACAGTACCATGCAAAAACTGTTACTGTGAATGGGGTCGCCTCTCCACAGAACTGACCCATAACTTTGCCTGATGCTGTCAACTGCTTTCTTTATATAGATAAAAGGAGTTTAATGCCATCCTGTGGAACATTCCAGGCAAAGCAATGATATATTCATGGAGAAAAGCAGGTGGCAGACATGTCATCATAAAGTTACATACGGCACCATTACATATGGCCCCGGTGTTGGAAATGATAAAAATACCCATAATTCCTCAGTGCCCAATACACTATTATATGGTATTAGACCATATGGCACTCAAGTCAATCATATGCTGTACATGAAATTATCTAAATAATAATTACAGACATTTAATATTATATCAAAGTTTTGCTCATAAACAGCAGAATCTCTCCAGAGGCCATAAAGTAAATTAGTAATTGAGCTAGCAGGAGATGGCAGTAGGTCATGTGTTTCTGGTCTGGGCCACTATATTTAGTCCATCAGCATGCCGACCCTGTTACACAACTCTGTGACTTTTAAACAATTTTGTCAAGCGTAGTTAAGGCAATATTTCTGATCCAAATGGGGCAACTGCAGCAGATGCCATGGTAATAAATGATATGCCATGATATGCTTAAGTAATTAAGTACAGCGTTTAGTTTGGAATAGCGTATGGGGTTTTCATGGTCGTGGTTTAGTTTACTCCTGTCTAAGATCTGAGGTGCACAGCTCAAAAATGCACTATGTAAGTTTTTCGTTGAGGGTCTCACACCTGCTCGTTTCCATGGTTTGGGGCCCTGCCTGGAATGTTTCACAGTATGCCATTAAAAAAGCTCTACTTTACATTTATTCAATTACAGGAGGTTTTATAGCTCAAAAATTCCTACAAAAGACAGGCATTCTGAATGGTGAGTAGACTTCTCCACCGATCTGACCTGTAACTTGGTCTGGTTTGGTCTCCATAATGAAGGAAAGATTGAATGCCATACTCTGAAACATCCCAGACAAAGCAAAAACATCTACATGGAGAAAAGAATTTGACGGACCCTCCACCACAAAAGTTACACATTGCATCTTTAACTAACTTTATGGTGAAGGGTCCGCACACCAACCTTGTCACCCTTTTTGCTTTGCCTGGTTTGTAACACAGTATGGCATTAAACTCCAAATCTCCATGGAGACAAGCAGGCTGAGTTACAGGTCAGATTTGCAGAGAGGCGATCTTGGATGTAGTAACAATGCATATTTTTCAAGAATTAAAAATAATTATAATGACATTAATACTAGATAGGTAAGATTTTATTTATGTGACATATATTGTAGACAATGTGACAGTAACATGCCCATGGAGGAAAGCAGAGTTGTACTGCTCCCAGAAAAGTTACGCAGTGCTCTTTAACTTGATGGTTTCAACCTGGTTTCAGTGCATGTGTTCTTCGAGAGCTGGTAAAAGGTCCTATATTACACAAAAAGATTCAGATCAGCTTGAAGGCACGTTATAATAAAAACAAACCTGGACTTGTGTTTTGTTTCATCTACACACATTTGAGTAACCTTGGTTTATTAGTCTGTCTACATTATATTTAGTTTATGAGAGATTGATAATTCCAGGGCTGAAATTATCCAAACTATTCTAGTGAAGGGGTATGGAGGTTAAAAACACAGTGGAGCACAAACAAAACACAACTCCAGCTGTGTTTTTGATGATGAATCAACATTATAACTTAGGTAAGAAAACAGTGTAATATGGGCACTTTAAGTCCTGGAGAAGTTTAGTCTTGAATTCAGGTTTATTCTTATTTCTGCCCTTGTTCAGTCCGATTACGTGTGACTTCTAAATAACTTTGTGCGTCAAAGTTAAGCCAATTTTTCAGACCCAAATGAGCTCTCTCTCAGTTTGTCGCCCATTATTAAGTCAAAGCAAAGTCAGATCTAATCCATTTTTCAAACAAGAGCACTTTGGGGTATATTTACTTTGACTATTTCAGTGTCCACGTTGAGCTGGTTGGCCGCAGCGTTGATTTTGTCTTTGCACACAGAACCCAGGCTCGTCATTCCTCGGTCCCAATAGCGCTTAAGTTGGACCAGATCCCCATCACTGAACTGAGTCCGATCCTGAAGCTACAAACACATAAATCTCTGGTTAGTACAAATAATTCACAGTGGAGTTTAGGGCTGCTTTTGGAATGCGCTTGGAATTAGATTTGGGACTGGTTTCAAATCAGGATTCAGTTCACATGCAAGCATATTATAAACCCATTATGGGGAATTTGAAAGAAGCTTGAAATATGAATTGTTGAACTAATATTAGAATCTCATGTGTTTCAAAACATTTTAGACCATGGTTAACACTTTTTCCATAAAAAGACCAGCTGTTCAAAGCAATAAAGTTTTACTGACATGCTAATCTCATTTTATTGTTACGGTATTTATTGCAATATTGCGAAGATAATGCTACGTTTTCCTTTTTAAAAGCCTTGGAAAGTCTTTGGTGCTATATTATTGTCATATTCCAAAGGATTAAGACAGAAAAGTGTTTTATAGCTATTATTTCTTGTCTGCATTGAAATGGAACAAAATGTGTAATTCCCTCTGTGTTTCAAATTATTGCTACAACAAAACAAGACTTTTAACTAAAGGATCTTATAATTCGATATTGTGACAACCCACAATATTATTGTGAGACTTTTGGTACAATGTCACAATGTTTCAGTTATTTGTCACATTCGTTTTTACATCACTCTTGATTTAACCGTCCTTATTTGACAGTGACGCAAGAGACAGAAAAAGCGAAAATGGGAATGACATGGTGGTAACTATTAGAGTAATGTTTGATTAGTACATGGCACACGGTGTTCCAGTTGAACCACCAAGGTTTCCTTCATTCATTTTTTATTTTTTTAATGGTGCAATGTGAAATACTGAGTCATTTAAAAGGTTCTCAAGCTTCACTTTCTTAGATGGGAAATCATACATAAGCCCCCAGTTAAAAATAAATAGTTTAGATAAGGTTTAGAACAGAATTTGAACCCGACTATAGCAGCTAAAACTAAAGCTACAAGAAGCGTTTATTTTAAAATGAGCACTCACCGTTCTCTTTCTCGAGTTGTTTAAAACCCAGGGATCAGCTGTTGCACTAACTGTCTGCAAAAATAGACATGCTGTTATTTTTCAGCATTTAAAATACCGCCATGTTCTTTTGAGTTAGCAGTTAAAGGTCCTGTATTATGCAAAATTGACTCTTATGAGCTTTAAGCTATGTTACAATGTTGTTACCTCATCCAAAAAGTATGATGAGGTATGGAGTTGTGTTTTGTTTCAGTCACACAAGTTTGAGTAATTCAGGTTTATTAGCTTGCCAGTGCCTACATCTCAAATGCTCAAAATGCTCTGCTCCACCTTGTGATGTCACGAAGGAGGGGTTTTCAAGATAACAACTATACTTTTTACCTACAAATGGGCAAAGCCAGGGCTGAAATTATCCAAATGATTCTAGTGAAGGTGTATGGAGTTTAAAAACACTTCTTGTATTACCACATGACATCACAAGTAGGAACAGAGTGTTTTCTGTTTGAGAGAACTCAGCCTAAATATGCAGGGTTTGTGTATTAAACATGTGTGAATGAAACAAAACACAACAATGTTTGTGATGAGAAAACAACATTATAACATGGATCAGAAAATAGCGTAATACGGGCCCTTTAAAGATGCAGAGTGTAACTTTTCTGATGGAGGACCCACCATCTTCTTGCCTCCACAAAGACTGTTCTGCCTGTAATGTTTCACAGTATGCCAGTGTAAACATGTCTATCTCCATGGAGACAAGCAAGGGACACCACACGGCCAAGTACAGATTAGTACTATTGAGTGGCGATCCTGCTCAATAAAAGGATGGCTGTTTTTCAAGCTATTTTTGAGCACCTGTAAAAGAATAAATGTAACACAGATACGTGTAATGTCTTACTGTGTAATATTACAGACAAGGCAATAACATCCTCATGGAAACAAGCAGCTGGCAGACCCCCCACCAGAAAAGTTACATCATGCATCTTTCAGCATTTGGATTGTGTTACTGGTGAATATTTAGTTTTCTTACCTGTGAGCTGGACTCTGTTGTGAGCAAGGTCTGAGCTGCCACCGCCTCGTAACCATGGAGATCATCATTACTTTGAACTGCTGTGGATTTGGAGCTAGTTGTCTGTTGTGTGGTGCTACTTCTACTACAAAGTTCACCCACGTTCGGGCTCCTCTGCTCCCTCTGGATGTAAGTTTGAGCTGCCATATTTGCCAGTTCTTCCTCCCTCTGCCACTCATCTTCCTCATCTCCAGTTTCCATGGCGATTGAGAAATTATGACTGGTGTCCAAGAAGCTAGTTGCAGATTGTCGATTTTCTGATATTTTTTGGCTTTTTCCTTGCGCCGAAATGAGCTTACTCCACTCGCTTTTTTCAGACAATGTAAAAACTTGCTGTATACGAGGAGTAGATGAGGGAGTATTTGAGTTTTGAACTGGTAGTGTTACCTTCACTTTCTGAGGAGTAATAGTATTTGTAGTACTTTGAGGTTGCGGGTTTGAATGAGGTCTTGGTTGAGTCTTGATTTGAGGGCTTGAGTTGTTAGACCATGGGAGCGTATTCGCTGTACCATATTGTCTTGTCCAGCTTTGAGGTATAATAGTTCCTACATTAACACCTGTCTCCGCAGAGGATAAGGTGGTCTTCTTGGCTGTATTGTGAACTACAGCCCCTGTCGATGGAGGTAACTGAGCAGGATTTTGAGCTAGTGAAACCGGTTTTGACTGAAGAGGTAAAACGCTAGAGTTATTTTTGTTTTGTACAGTTAGGTTGATGTTAAAAGAAGTTGTGTTCTGTTGCGACTCGGGCTTGGAAGGCGGAGGGGCCACCGGTCGTTGTCTGGAACGTTCAGCAGAATTAAGTGAATAAATACCAGTTAATATGACGTCATTGTTATTATTGTTAGTATTGCCTCGGACTGTAAGAGGCGATGAAGAGGTCGAGGAAGGTGTTGTAGTAAAATTTTGAGTTTGAAGTTTGAAATTTGAAGAGTGAGGAAAAAGGTGAACCCGATTTGAGATGCTACGAGCTGTGAGGACTTCAGAAGGTAGGAGGGGTCCAGGTACTATAGAAGAATTTGATAAAGTACCAACAGGTAAAGTGTGGTTGGAGAGGAGTCCCGCAGAAAGGCTGTGACTGGATAACGAATGGGACATTGCTCCGTTCTGGTCTGCTTTGGAGGCGAGCTTACGTCTCTTGTTTCCAACCCATGTCTGGAAATAAACAAAAAGAAATGTTTTAAGCAAAAATCAGTCTTATGAGCTTTAAGCCATGTTAGAAACGGCTTAAAAAAAAAAAAAAAAAAATTCCTATTCTTTGTTTGTTTTTTCATATGCAGAATTGATAACAGCCTTTTTTAAACTTTCAATGTTAAAACAAAGCATAGAAAGAGAATATAGAGAGTATAAAGAGAGTAAAATTATTAAATTACATGGTGTTCAAATTATTTTTCATTTATGTAGATATATTGAGCTAAACAGATTAAAAAATATACTTTGCAGCAGATGTCATCAATATCCCCGGGAGTGTGAAGCTAACTGACAGCACTATTCTGTTAGAAGCTCTGTTACTCAAGATGTGTGTACAATCCCTCCCTCAGTCATCTAGGTAAAATCCATGGCAAAAAGGAGAAATTCAATTTGTTAAATGAACAAAAGTTTATTTCTTTTTTAGTTCTGAAGAAGAACTGAAGAAGCAGCTTGGATGAGCTGAGAAACGTATTCAACCAAATAAACTTTTGTCCAGTTGACAAACTGAATTTCTCCTTTTGCCCTCTGTTACTCAAGGTACACTTTAATCTGAGCATTATTTTACCACAATTTGACCAGAAAGACCTGCTTTGTGCTGTTAAACAAGTCTCTCACACATAAAATTACAGCCACAAGCTAGCCAGAATTAGCCAACAGTCACTTTCACATTTTTATTGAAAAGCAAACACCTAAACAGGACCATGAACACTAATTGATCACAGGCTTTTTTCTTTTTCTACATGAATCTCTAGTGGTGGAATGATTAGAACACCCCCAGCATGCATCATTGCATCAATAACATGCCAAACATAAATACAGCAAGCTTTGCAAATGAAAGCCACATTAATAACACTTAAAACTGTACTACACATGCACCTATGGGATGTGGTATAGCAAAATAAGCATAACAGCATAATGCATAACCATTACATAGATTTACTGCCCTAATTACTTTTCCTTAATATTTCCCATTGTATTTATGTACCTACCCGGACCACACTGAAGTCCAGTTTGGCCTCCTGAGCACACTGCAGGATGAGCTGGAAGCAGGCTTTGCTCTGATTGGTCATCCCATTCTCATAGTACCGCTCCAGGATCCTCTGCTGTTCAATGGTGAAAACTGAACGGAGATTCATCTGTAAAAAGAACATAAATATGCAGTGTTATATAACTTTATACCACAGTCAGTTAGAATTCCAATTGTTAAGTGCTGTGTGTTAATGTTTTATAACACACAAGTATTTGATGCAATACCCACAGGTTATCGAAGTATCCTGCAAGATGACCAAAATCCAAATAACCAGCTGGTGTCCATCTCAATCATATATTCAGATGTGATTAATATCAAAGATGAGAAATGTAAGAACACATTTCTGAGACAAATAGTAACAAATAAAACAACTCGCTTGTGAAAATTTGATTGGGATAACATTTTTTCAATATTGACAGGGATAAAATGTGGGTTTATAACAAAAGATATTAAGTTAACCATAAAATCACAGAGGTCTATTTTAAAATTATACATTTGTTCTATTCAACACATTATTTTATGGAAAAAAAATATTAGTAAATGTGACCCATGTGTATTTTATAATACAGAAAATAAATCAGTTGAACATCTTTTTTATCTTAACATCTTTGTGTGGTGTGGAAAGTACACTTCAGAAAAGGGATATTTTATTTTATTATTTTGATAACAATTTGGATACAAAGCACATCTATATTTTAAATGTTATATTATTTTATAATATTTTATTCATAGTTGTAAGTGGAATAACACCATTCCTAATCTCTTTAAATTCAAATGTAATCTGAAATATTATTTTAAATAATTAGAAAACCTTCCAAATGAACAAGCTAACAACATGTTATCAGTTTATAAAGAATCGGAATTATCAATCTGAATCCATTAATTACCCCTATATATCCATCTGTTTGAATGTATGTATGTTTAAAATTATTTCTTTGTATATATACAATACATTTTATGGAAAAAACACACATTCACATTCTATATCCCTGCTCTTTGGCCATCACCATAACATTACCAAAACAATGGAGTAAACAAATGCTTAACTGCCCTAAGTATAATGTAGCTTCATTTAAAACCCATAAATAACAGATATTTGCGTTATTCATGACAGTAAACTAGCGTTTTCAGATTCAAAGGTGAGACATTTCAACAACTCAGTACGCTATGAGCATCAGCACCAGATAAACCAATGAACTACTGTACTGAGGGACTATCTTCAACTACAAAAAAAAACAAAAAAACTTGGAAGGCCAAAAGATCGTTTAAAAGTGAACTATTTTCATTTTGTGGGACTATGGAATAAGCAGATTAAATAACTTGGAGCAGTGTGTTACAGTCGTATTACTCATTAGCCCTCCTGGCATTAGTGATCAGTGAGGTCAATGTCCATTTGAGCCAATGTGATGGAAATATGTGTATTCATGTTGTAAAGAAAATATTATCATATCATATGTCAGTGTAAATGCATTTGTTCTGTGTCAGTCAGAGACCCAGACCTGACATTAACATTGTGTGAAGACTCAGCAGAGACTGTCTGCTGAGTCTGTAAAAATTGAATAACTCATGGCTGTGAAACAAACTTCACTATGTATGTAACTTTGTATTTCTGTATAAATACTCAAAGCTCAGATGGATTTCATAAACTCACCAGGCTTCGCAAATGGATTATTATTTATCATCAAGAGATCATTTTCCACAACAGCCTACTTTACATTTTAAGGGTTGTCATGATACTAGAATTTCAAACTTCATTCTGATACTAGGGGAAGAAGCCTGATACTAAATACTAATTGTGAAGCCACAGTAAATAATGCATTCGTTTTATATAGTGCATTTTTAAACACTTTTTTTAAACAAGTTGCAATGGCAACAACATTAAAATAATAATTCATTGTATTTATATAAACACTCAGAGGCACTTCACAAAGGATTAAAAGACACCAACAAATACAACTGGTACCCCATAAAAACAGCAATAGAGAGAAATTAACTGTAAAACCAGAGGGAAAGGGCTATATGAACAAATCTGCTTTAAGTCTGGTTTAGCACCTGGTATTCCCCGTGATTTTCCATCCAACTGCTAACCAAGCCCAGCCCTACTTAGCTTCCGAGATCAGATGATATAAGGAATGCTCAAGGTTGCATGCCAGTGGGTACATTTTATGTATTTATTTTTTTGATAACACAACAATACCTGCTCAAATATCTGATTTATGTAGTAGTTTTAATATTGATTTGTATCTTGTAATCAATTTATTTTGACGATCTAAAAGTATTTAGTTATTAATTTTAAGTAACAATATCCTTGCTTTAGGAGTAGACTATTCTACTATTTTACCCATTAAAATCTTTGAAATATATATGTTGTGACAAAGTGGATTCATTCTTATGTCTTTAATAAATTTTTGTTTGGAACTATTCAGATTTAAGGGGGGAAAAAACTGATATATAAATAAATAACAGAATAATAGTTTACTGTATTACATAATCCAACAATATGATGCCAAAATGCATTAGGATTAACATAACTTGTCTTTCTTTTTTCTTTTATACAGATAATAATGTGTCCATATAGACTTACAGTTTGCAGGCCACGCCTCTGGTCCCACGCATCCATCCTGCGGCTGGAGGGGTACGAGGCGGTCATCACTGAGCGCGCTCCATGATTCTAGGAACAGTCCTGTTTTTCCTCATTATGACAGGGCATGACGCACACGGGCAGGTAATAACAACTGTAGAAATAAAGCATACAGCCATATACAAACATAATCACTGGTTATTGTAGTAAACTACTATAGAAGTGTTTTTCAACCTTTTCTGAGTCATGGAACAGTTTTGATGTTATAAAAGATGTTGTGGTACACCATTCACTAGCATTATCAAATGATGCCTATTTCAGCATAAAAGGTGTTAATAATGTAACTAATTTGTGTGTATTTTTGGTTGAGACTTATTCAATAGATGACAGATGGAACAATTATTTATGAGGCTCAATATTATTATGGGTACTTTTTCTTTGTACTAGTGGGGCACTTTTGTTATTTTGCTCTACTACGAGTAGATATGAGATGCAGAGGATCAAATACATAACTTCTATGACTCATTATCCACTATGAAAGTATTAGATTCTGCTTTATTTGTTTTACATTTTACTATTCAGCATTATTCAAATCACACTAGTACAATGTAGGGATGTCAAGAGTATTGGGTTACTATACATGAATATACAGGCCACAATATAATAATAACAAACTACAAAATAATAATCAGGACAATTCTGGAAGCAAAATTAAGTCATTTCCACTCAATTTATTCTCAAAATGGCTTTACTTTGTGAGAGTAGAGTAGAAATGAAAGAAAATTAAGGATTTCACTGTTGTTTGATCTTGATGTCCATAGTGTTTTTTTTGTTTTTTTTTCCTCACAATATTCGTTACACTAAAATTTGTTATTATGACATCCCTAGTACAGTGAAAGGTTAACAGCTTTTTATGTGCCTTCTTCATCTTCTTCTAATCAAATGATTACAGGCTGCAATTTAATAAAATTGATTAGTTGGTTCAGCTATCTCTACAGGTCTACTGCCTCCTTTTGTTAGACCTATAGGATTACACATCTGTAACATGAGTCTTTCTTAAAATTACAAAATGTCCTAACTTTAATTATTTTGCGTAATCATGTCACACTCACACTCACACTGACAACACTCGTCTTATTTAATATTTAAAATAGGCCCATTTTGGGGGTCACTATAATCTCATTTTCTCACGTAGTTACTCAGTCATAAATATTCCTGGCTGGCTCCTGTGGTGAGGAAGAAGCTGTTAAGCCAGTCCTCGATGTAGTATCACTAGGGGGAGCAAGTTAATGTTTATAAGGGTTTAATAACTCGGGAAAGATTGCATACGCGGACGCAATGCGACCAATAAGCTTCGAGCTGATTTATTTAGGCAGGGAGACTGCGCATGGCCACAGTAAACAGTGCGTCGTGGGCATCGTTTGATCATTACGAGGAAAAGCACGGATGTAATAAGCGAAAAGGCAAATAGTGGGAGCGTCACCCGAGTGCGTCAACCAGGCAAAAGATCAGGGTTTAGAAACATGATTATCGCATGAAGTCTGTGTCATAACTTTACATCAGGGAGAATTAGGCTTAAAAACTGGGTAAGCGCTGTTGAATCAGTGGGCAGTCTGCATGTAGTTCGGCTTTTTTAGGCCTGAGCCGTAGCCAAACCTCCTGGGCTAGTTAGCATTAGCCTAGCATCCCTCCCCCAATGGATAGCCACGGCTAAACTTTTCCTTTAAATGTGTGAATTCTCGATCCTGCTGTGGTCATTTAGGCTGACCTTAACTCCGACCAGCCACAACGCGAAGACGAACGGGGAATTCACGTGTCCAGGGAGAAATCAAAATCAGACTCACCATTTCTGATGTCAAAATCAGACGTGCGTTCAAATTCAGCAGATTTCTTCAGCAGACCCCTTTTGCTAGACAATGAAATCAGAGCGTCCGATCATCAATTCTAATCATGATTGTGACGTGTGCGCAGACAGGAGCCAATGGGAGCTTAAGATCAGGCGCTGACATCCAGAGGTCCCGCCCCCCTCTGACTTTGTGATTACTAAAAGAGGAGGTCACAAAGACGGGCAGGATTTCGGTCAAAGCAGTTTCGGCCCAAACCAAACTTTGTATCTCTCGTTACAATGTTTTAAATGTAACATTTATATGAAATAATCAGAGTTTAGTGTGTCTCAAGTATTCCACTGAGTGAGTTTTACACCTTAACCTACAGTTATTGGCTAGGTGCTGTTTATTACTACAACCAATAAGACTGCTTATAATAAGATGATACTGGGGGAATTTGTGCAGTGTTCTTCTTATGCACTAGGCTGTGGGCTACAACGTTACCACTTTAATCGGATCAGTTAGGGCTACAATAAAATATGGTCAATGGTGAATGATTGTTCAAATATAAAAATTTTAGTTTTGGAGAATATGCATTTTTCATTTACATACTAAATTGTCTGTGGTAATTGCCATGTCCAAAAGCTTTTGAGAATATAGGCTATTTGTACCAAAATCATCTTCAGTAAATACATAAATAAAATGTGAGAGAATGCCTCTTTCTTAAGTGAAATCATTATTACAAGTATTTATTATATATTTATTTATTTATTTATTTATTTATTTTTCTTAATAAAGGTTCTTTTTTGTTTTAGGAAAGCTGTAGCACCGTCAAAAACTCACTAGCATTCTGGGGGACAAAACATATAGTCTAACAAGAATAAGGTTTAAACAGTGACTGATTTTGTCTTTAATTCAAATGTCACAACATATCACACCATATATAACCTATATTTCCCTTTTCCCAAGTTTGCTCCTGAAGTTTTTTTTTTTTTTTTTTTTTTTTTTTTACAGATCAGTGCATGACGTCACCTCCCTCAGATGCGCAGCAGGGGGCGCCCCTTCGCTGCAGAGCGGAGGGACTCCTGATGCTTGAATTTCCCTTCAGTCAAACACGGTGAAGTTCGCTAAACCGATGACATAAATGTGCTGCGCCTTCAGCACACGTGTTCATAAGAGGCATGACTCACTGCTACAAACGCGGTTGGTTCAACTGTGAAACATTTTAATCTGGTCTATCTAACATGCATGATAATTAGTTATTACCGCAATTTACAAAAATTAAGTTTAAGGCTGCTGCCCTGTTAAGTTATTTATATTCCAGTGATGCGTGCAGCTTGTTAAAACGTGGCTCGCTTAAATGTTCTCTGCCCTCGGTGTAGAAGCCCTCGCTGTCGTTATAGGTAAGTGCATGTGTGCGTAAAGCGGGAGCGACGTAGAGAAAGCTCCCTGTGCCGCGCGCTGCACCATTCCCGGTCTGTTATGAGTGGTGGCCCTTGTGATGCTGCAGCGAGGCGAGGGGAGGGGCTCCATCTCCTTCCATCGCCCACCAAAATCCCTCCTCTAAGCGCGGGAAGGCACGAGAACCCTCAGAGTGAGTGCGCGCAGAGAGAGGGAGAGAGAGAGGCAGGGAAGGAAAGCGCGAGGAGGAGGAGGGAGAAAACGCGCGTGTGTGTCTCCGTGTGTGTGCGTGGATTGCACCACCGCATCCCGTTCACCGTTTCTGCAGGCGGCCATGCTCACGTTGGAGAATTTACAAGTGTCGAGCTTTGCCTTTTTCTCACCTTTTCCAACCGCTCTCTCGTTCCAGATGTGACTGTCAAGGCGTTTTATGTCGCCCGCATTGAGTTCTGTGTCGCGCACCGCGGAGAGACTGTGACACCATGGCTTTGGTTATGGAGCCTATAAGTAAATGGACGCCAAAGCAAGTCCTGGACTGGATGAAAGGTAACGTAACACTTGTTTTATATGCGCTAATTGACATTTAACACACGCCTGGTGCGGTCATGCTGTGTGAATATGTGTCCTAGTGGGCCACTGGCTGCGTGCATGTGCGTGCTCCTTGTACAGAAAACCCGCAAGCTGACGTATGATTTTCCAACCACTGATCAAAAAGTACAGTACAATGCGTTTCTAACCGGTGCAGTAACATTTTAACAGAAATAATGAACGTAGCGGTAATCTTATTTCATCTTATTACAAACCAAGCCACCACAGCAGCAGCGTAACAGCTCTCATCAATGAACGTGAAGGATGGATATACAACCCATAACCCGTATGCAACAACCACCTTGCTGTGTCTACGTGCGTGCGTGTGCGTGTGTGCGTATGATTAATGTAGTTAGCTGCACCCCCCACCCCCCAGTGCCAACCGTACAGTCAGCTTCAGCACCATGGACAGCGCAACGCCGCCTGCCATATAAAGGAAGCGAGTCTTTTTTGTGTGTGCTGCACGCTTTAGTGGCTCTGCAAAGCTCCGTTGAAATAGACAGGATGAATGGGTAATAAGTAATCATGTACAGTTATGTGAAATAGTGGATATACTGGATATATGTGTGTGAATAGGGAACTGCTGTTGTAAGGCAAACTGTGGTTGTGGTGTAGGCCATTTACTGACAATAGGAAGAGGCTTGTCCGCAACCTTCCCCTTTAAAAGAAAGACTTAATTGCCGCTATAGTGTGATGATGACTCAAAACCGCAAGTCTAATCCGTATCAAGGCAGTAATGAGGAAGTTGAGCCCCAAGATACTTCATAGTGCACATCAACATCCGATGAGCAAGTGTCTGAATTCAAAAAAGGCATTTGAAAAGAACGGGCCTCCACCACCGTCAAAATCAATGTGAAACAAGTATCTCACAGTGAAAATGACTAATATATGAAAGCATAGGATTTAAAGAGAACTAAAGCTTGTGAAAACCTAAAAGTCAGTTCTTGATAGTGACTAAAACACTATAATGTGTTCAAATAACTTAACTAGCAGTAAATTAACTATGAAACTACTATACATTAACTAAAGCATTAACCATGCTTTATCCAAAGATCCAAAACAATGTGGTTATGCTATGATTAATTATTTCTACTATAAAGAACAGTGTTTAGGAAGTGTGTCCTGATCTGTGAACAATATGAAGACTAAACATGGGGAAATCATGTATTAACTCAGGACTAAACTAAACAGTGATTGTGAAACAAACTTAACATGTTTAACCTGCACACATCTAAGATCAACACCAGATCATAAAAAATCTGAGCCAGTGCTAAATAAGTTTAGGCACAAACTGAGAATTAAATCCAATTCTATTCTACTGTGGGCGATATGCCAAAAGGGAAAAAAAAAATCTTTCCATTTTGACTTTATCATGATTCATGCTTTAGTACTTTTATATTATCTATAAGAGGTAACCAAAGACATCTGTTTCTTCTGAGAGTGGACTCTTGCCTGTGATTGTTAAATCCACCTGTCACTCAATCGGAGCATGACAGAGACTGGCTAATCGGAAGAGAGGTTGGGGAAAAGTGGAAAATTGTTTGTGCATAAAGCAACATTAAACAAAATATTTTTGATTTACAATTATAGCATATAGTAACAAGAAAGAGATTGCTTTTTTTTTTATTGCATATTGCATAGTAAGAGATAGATCAAAATTGCATTGATAAAACATTTTTAAGCATTGTTATATTGTTATAGAGATTCTGCGATAAAAGATAATACTGAAACTACTTTATGCTACTGATACAATTACAATAATGCAAGATAATCCCAGTAAACCATTTTTAAATACACAGTGTAACTTAAATGCTTGAGCTGCAACAAATACGTATCAGAATGAACCAATAATTAGCCACAGAAGTAACTTATTCAACCTTGTACCGCTCAAATCTCCCCACTTTTCTAAGAAATTGTACACACTATTAATATTGAAACACAAAATATATTGTTCCAGCTATTGTATATTGAATATAGTAATTATCGTGACAGATCTAACTAAAATAAATATAACCAAGAGATCAAAGTAGTACTTCTCCAAACGCCTCAGCCACATTGTATTCTGTACCTGAATATGAGACAGAGGAGTTTTTAGATATTTATGATCCAGCTGAATTTATTGTGCGTTTTATTCCTGTAGCCTTGGTGACCACCCAAACGCTTGTATTTTTTGAAAGCAGATTTAAGAGGAAGTTGGTTCCGTTTGGTTACACTCTGGCCTTGTTATGACAGAGACAATCGGTTAGGTTCATCAGAGTGACATCACAATATATATAACAGACCCTCCACCAGGAAAGTTACACCATGCGTCTTTAACTGTGAGATTGCAGATTTGCTGGGCCTGTCCACATGAAACAAAAACTGGCACAAAGTTCAATGTCTTCTATGTCAGCAAATAAACCAAAGTGAAATTATTATTATTATTTTTTTTTTTTTTCTCACAGTAACTTCAGCTCCAGGCATCAGCTGAAATGACTTTAAAGATGCATTGTGTAACTTTTCTGGTGGAGGGCCTGTCATATAATTTTCTCCATGGAGATGTTATTGCTTTCTTTAAAAAAGTTCCACATTATAGGTTGAACCGAGGGAGACAAGCAGGTTACAGCACTATACTACATTACAGTTCACATCTGTGGAGAGTCGCCCTTATTCACAGAAGAAATGATTGTATTTTTTAGCAACAGAAACACCCGTAATGAATGACATGCTGACTGGATATGTTTAATGCCATACCTTGGAACATTCCAGGGAAAGCAATAAGATCTCCATGGAGACAAGCATGTAGCAGACGTCCACCAGAAAAGTTGCGCAGTGCACCTTTAAGTCATAAGATTAATGTGACATGTTTGTGCAGCCAGTCCCCAACAAAACATTTCTTTCAAACATTTGTGGATCATAAATTTGGATATTTCTTTCAAAAACAATCAATCTCCCACAGAGTTATCTTGCCCCCTGCCCTCTTTCTGAAATAATGACATTTTCAATTTGTAATACAAGAACATGTCCTATTTATCCAGGTGTTTAATGGACTCTTTGGGCACATTGTGGTCGGTGTGTTTTGATTGCATTTTGATGAGTGATTGTAGTACAGTAATGTCCTGGTTTATAATTGGTTCTTCCTCAGTCGGCAGCCATCCTCTGATCTGTGGAGGGCACTTCTGTGAAAAGCTTCGT